CTGGGTCGGACCTCCCGATCGAAGCATCTGCTGCGCTCCTTCCTCTCGCGCGCGACAAAACAGCCGCCCGACGCTGCTCTCGATCCCATTCCTCCGCTCGTCCGCTCTCCTTTCCAACTCGAGGCTGCGAACCGAGCTCCTTTCTCCCGCTCAGCGAAACACTCGTGATTAAAGTTAGCCAGAAAAGCGACCACGGGATCAGCGAAACACAGGTTCGTTTCTAGATCACCCTTTTCTTTTCATTTTTTTTTTATTTTCAATTAAAAAAAAAAAAAAATCTTGTTATCATTTATGTATATCCTAAATCAATTCGTTCTTCTTTCTCAACATAAAAAAATTTTGTGATTTACTTTGACTGGACAAATATAACATGGATAAAAAAAAAAATAAATGATTCTAGTCATATTAACGCAACTAGTAGCAAATGTTTACTGCATTCCATTGAACGAGCGTCGATCATTATTGTGTATTCAAATGTTTGGCATCGATCTTTGGAGAACTATAAATGTTGCTTTGGCCATACATTCTTACTGATTTTTTTGGAGAAATATAAACAATATTTTGAATGTGTTATTGCTGATTTTAAATATTTAGTTGCTGGTTTTATGTTTCAGGCACCCAAATGCAAATATTTTGATGTTCCAATGATCATTTAATTGCTGATTTTAAATATTCTGTTGTTGGTTTATGTTTCAAGTACTTAAATGCAATATTGTGAGGTTCCAATGACCATTTACTTGCTGATTTTAAATGCTACTTTGCTGGTTTTATGTTTCAAGCACTTAAATGCAAATATTGTGAGGTCCCAATGACCGTTTACTTGTTGATCTTAAACACTCATTTGCTGATTGTGCTTCAAGCACTCAAAATAGAATACTACGAGGCTCGAGATGACCGTTATTCCAGGGCTTGAATACTTCTTTGCGGGTCTATGTTCTTTTATTTCCGAATGTCTCCCTTGTGGGCTATTTTACCCGTTGTTTGGTGGGTTTAAACATTATGATTTTTAGGGCTTTGTCTACTGATTCACGTACTATTTTAGAGCCAATCTGTTAACTGATTTAGGAGAGTTTGCACACTATCTTGGACTGGATTTCCTAGCTGAT